GAAACTATACATCGATCTCCTCGCTCTCCCTCAGCTCAATCTACCTACCTTACAGGGTTGATGTTGGGAGGAAAAGTTGGAACACTGATTGCTCAGTATACCACCTTGCACTTTTGAAGGAAGATATTTATTTAACCAACTAATCAACATATTTGAAATCATCTCAAATCTTAGCTGGTTCCTGGATAGGAGGAATTCCTTTATAGTTAGCACTAGAGTCTCAGCTGCTTTAAAAGTTATCCATAGCTATTATAGCATTCGGGGTTCTGAAACATAAAAGGTAGAGCTCCGGTTCAAATCCAGGTTCAGTACAAAGGGGAGAAATATATATGATATGAGCAAACCTTGTTAATCTCTGTTTTTAGAGAGTAGGAAGGCATGAGTGACACCTGCAGAAGAATCAGAATGGGCATAAATTCAAAAGAGTAGCATGAAATATAAGAATGAATTCTAGCACAAATTCCTCTGGTAGTTAAAATGGATTTTCTTGCCTTCAGAAGTTGTGGGTGCTCTATCACTGGAGGTTTTAAAAATGAGATTGGATAATCATTTGTCGAGAATGGTATAGGGCAGACAGGTGAACCTTTTTGGCACCAAGTGCAAAAACTAGACCAAAAATGAGACCGTGCATGTGTGTGTGCAGGGGAGCATCGGAAACCGGAAGAGCAGTTCCCTGGCATGCATGCATGTGCCGGGAAGCTGAGCTTTCAGTTTCCGGTGTGCACATGCGCCCCGGTCACCTGGTCTTCCGGTTTCTGGCATGCATGCATGAAGACCAGCTGGCTGGTGTGCAGGCGTATACCGGAAAGCTCAGCTTCCCGGCACGTGCATGCGTGTCAGGGAGCTGCTCTTCCGGTTTCCGATGCTCCTTTGTGTGCAAAGATCAGCTGGCTGGCAGGCATGTGCATGCCGGAATCCGGAAAAGCAATGGGCGATGGCTGGCATGCCCAGAGAGATGGCTCTGTGTGCCACTTCTGGCATGCGTGCCATAGGTTCGCCATCACGGGTATAGTTTCCTGCTTGAGCAGAGGATTGGACTAGAAGACCTCCAAGGACCCTTCCAACTCCGTTCTTTTGTTATTTTGGCTCACTTCAGATTTTTCAATGGGATGTTTCTAACAAATAAAAGTCCACAAGAATGGGATTTTACTTGTCCAAAACACACGCGCACACACACAGAGCACCATGAAAACAAAACTACCAACAAGCACCCCTTTCTAAAATGAAAGTAAAGGTACAGTTCCCTTCAGTTCATGCATAACTTCTGATGGTTTCAGGTACTTATCAATCACATACTTGTTTTGTTCCTGTTTTTTCCCCCAACTTCTCAGTCAAGCTCATAACCCTGATGCCCAGTGGTGGGATTCAAATAATTTAACAACTGATTCTCTGCCCTAATGATTTCTTCCAACAAGCAGTTCACCAAACTGCTCAGAAAGTTAACAACTGGTTCTCCCAAAGTGGTGCAAAATGGCTGAATCCCACCACTGCTGATACCCCTTAGCAAGATATTTACATCCAAATATTAATCAGGCCTAACCCTGCTTGGTTGTGTGGGGAGCAGAGGGGACCCTACAACATCTTATGTAGAAAAGTCATAGGTGTGTGTGTGTGTGTGTGTGTGTGTGTGTGTGTCTAAAAATCAAAGGACACTTGCATTTTAAAAAGAATTCTTGTATATTAGCAATTACGTTTCTGCTTTCAAATTGGAGCTGCACAAATACAAATGACCACTAGATGGCAGCAAAGAGATACAGTAAACCCCAAATGTGCAATCTGGATTTTTTTTTACAATATAATCCAGGTATGTCCCTTTAAATCTTGAATGTTGCCTCATTATGGTGGGAAGACAGGTATTCCTGAGAGTGATAAGCTGGGAGGGTATATAGTGTTGGGCAGTAAAGATACAGGAAGATGCTGCAGGTGGGTGATCACTTTAGTGCAACAGCAAAAGCATTGGTTCATACTATGCAGGAGAAGACAATGGTAAACTGCTCCTGTATTTTATATTAAAAAAACCCCATATAGATAAACAATGAAAAATAATTAATGATAGAGTTTTGGGTAATGGCCCTTCAGATTAGATGGCACTAAACAAGCTACTCAAAAGCTAAGGGTCTTTCAAAATATAGTACTGGGAAAGAGGGGAGGGAAGGGCCAGCATAAAATGGAAAAACCTGATTACAAAAATGATGAAAGACCTATTGGAAGATCTGGGGATACATCAACCTGCAGAATTTTAGTTGATGTGGTTGCTTAGCACTGACATCTTCTTGACGCTAATTGATCAATCAGCCAGATAGCAATAGCACTTAGACTTATATACAGCTTCACAGTACTTTACAGCCCTCTCTAAGCAGTTTACAGGGTCAGCACATTGCCCCCAACAATCTGGGTCCTCATTTTACCGACCTTGGAAGGATGGAAGGCTGAATCAACCTTGAGCCTGGTGAGATTCGATCTGCCAGATTGCAGGCAGCCAACAGTCAGCAGAAGTAGCCTGCAGTACTACATTCTAACCAATGTGCCACCACAGCTCTTAGATATGGCCTTAGTTATATCAGTAAGAGGAAAATAGATAAAAGGCCTCTTATATAACAAGATAAGCCTTCAAAGTTCTGGGCAACGCTTGCGTGTAATCCCTCCCACAAACAAACATATAAAAATACTTAGCCACATAACTGAAAAAGACATACCTATATCGATGCAGATGTTTTCACATCATCAGGTTAAGGTGGTTCTCTTCTCCCAGCCGTTTTTATAACTAGGTGTTTTTGTTGGCTTTATTTCAAATGCATGTACCACAAAGGGATAACGTATACATTTTTATTTTGAGATTTATGAATGTGATTTTACATTTTTATTGTTTTTCTATTGTTTTAAATGTTTTAAAAGGCTTTGCAATTATGGTCGTTACTGGATGGATTAAAATGTAACGAATATATATACATCTTGACTTTCTTTTCTTCCTTTGGTGACAAGCATCATCAACAACAGCAGTGTCATATTATGAAAATCAGATGAGAAGGACTCTTTAACTGGGAAGTATTCAGGGGAAATTAACAGCCAGTAGCCAGCTTGTGTGCCCTCTGGATAGAAAGGTGAGATATAAATCAAAGGAAGGAAGGAAGGAAGAAAAATATCAACATCATATGAGCCTTGCTAAGCTGTTTGATAACTTGACCCTGATCAAAAGAGCCTCATTCTTTGTCACCAGAATAACAAATCAAATGGCAGCACCATGGAAGTGAGAGGGGTTGGTGGGTGGTTGAGTTGGGGTTGGTGGCACTCAGAAATTCTTGATTTAAAAAAAAAATGAAGACAGAATTAACAGGAAGGAGTGTTGCAACCTCCTCTTCGGAAGCCCCATGAAATTTTGTGGTTCTCATTCCAATCTGGCAATGCACCTATCTATTCTTAAACTCTTTAAATTAGAAGCAAGGATGGCAGAGTGACTAGAATTGTTTCAATCCATTAATACCAACAATACAATTATTTGAATCATAATTATCTTCCTCTGGTAGATGGCAACTACAGTGCTGCAGTTGAAGCCCTACCTCTTTTGTATACCTGCCGAAAGTGCGTGTGTATGGAACATGCACAAAAGAGGCAGATCTTCGATTGTATTGCCACGCCCACCATCTTTTGGATTTTGATTCTGTCTCTGGGGATGCCATGATACTATTCTCCCTGTACATTTGAAGATAACAACCAATCTTAGTCCAGATTTTGTTGTTGTTTTTAGTTACATATAGTGCTTTCCTTTTTAAAATGATCTCTATTTTACTTTCACATTTATTTATATTTGCATGGTTTGTTATATCACAGTAATTTAAGATTTAGTGCTCTCTTATATAACATTCTGAGAACTTCCAGCTGTATGTAACATGAACAACACAACACAACACTTGGGAAGAATGAACTGATAATCTTCCTTCCTTCCTTCCTTCCTTCCTTCCTTCCTTCCTTCCTTCCTTCCTTCCTTCCTTCTCTTATAGAAGGATCTTGAAGACAAACAATCCATCCTTGTTCTAATGTATTGTAATCATTACTACAACTACTGAACAAGGATAGATTTCTAGAAGTAAAATCCATTATTTCCAGTGAAACTGGGCTGTTTTCTAAGAATGATTATAGTTGTTGACATGTATCCTAATTACATATATCATAATTAGAAGATCAGAAGAACAATTTGGTCTTGACTTAGTGCATCAATGATACAGTTGTCAAGTCTATGACCTGGATCTTTGGTGCCACCACAAAAAGTCCATTTCACCAGTGGTCACCTGCTTAATTAAGGCTGACAAGGTCCTGAAGAGGAGCTCCTGAAGAACCTGAAGAACAGAATTTACCTGAAAACTGGCCATTTCTCCCTCCCTTCCGCTGTGTCTGAGATTTGTGACTGAGCTTTGCATAATGCTCTCCTGTCCTTTGCAGTTCTTCAGCTGGTATCTGGCATGTCATACTATTCACACATGTTGTTTAAATGAGACCAAAAATAAATGTTCCATGCCCATGAATGAATTGCAGATGCTAATTTCACTCCTTTCTACTTCCTTCCTTACATTCTTCACTGCTGAATGTATTCATGAGGCTCAGTCTGAACACATCTACTCCCCCTTTTTCTCTCTTATCTAGTTACTGTCTTTTGCTAGCGAGACACAGCTGTCATAATAAAACACTGTAACTTATTCACAAAAGCACAGTCGTTCAGGTGAGGTGGAAATGGAAGAGGTGTTGACTCATAATCTATATAGGGAATGTTGCAGACATCCTGTTGGCGAATTGGTAGCAAGCCTTCAGGAATTTAAATTGGGCACTAAGCTTGTTTAAAAGCAATGCCAAACCATGATTGGGAACATTAGATTTGTGGACTCTCTGCTTCTCCTCTCTCAATCTGTCTCTACTTTTTCCTGGGTAGATTCCGGTTGGGGCATTGTGGTTTCTATCTCTGTAGTGTTTTATGGTCAAATAGTTTTATCACAAAGAAGTAAACATAGGAGAATGAAAGGGATATTTTATTCAATTGTATTCAAACCTGAGCAGTCTGTAGTAGCATTTGAATGATTATCCCTGAACTAAGTCTTTAGTGGGAGCTGAAGAACATATTGCAGCAAGAACTGAGGCTATTTGCGATTTCTTTTACCCCATGCTGTTTCCTTTTTCATTCAGTCAGTCAGCATTTTGTAATGCTAAACTCAATCCTGAGTAGGTTTGTTTGTTTCCTGTAAGTATTTCTTGGAACTTGTTACTCCACTAAGGCTGATTGTCCATAGGTTTATAAGCAGGGAATGCTTATAGTTGACTATAATCTAATTATAATTATGAGTTCATTAGCAGCTTCAGGCAATTCATCTTTCAAGCTCGGTTTCTATCTGCAGAATAAGGATAATATTAAATTTGCTTTGGCAAGTATTCTAAGGATTGCAAAAATAATCAACATAAAGTTTTTGATTAGCTAATCCATTGTTTTGGAAGGTTATTTTTCTACCTCTTTCAAAAAGTTTATTTTTGTTCTGATTTCAGATCCCACCTTTTCTCTGTCACTCATGCCCTAGTCATCTCTCAGCCCGATTACTGCAATGTGCTCTACATGGTGCTACCCTTGAAGAGTATTCAGAAGATGCAGCTGGTACAGAATGCAGCAGCATGCATAGTCTGGGAAGCTCCTAAGACTGAACATATAACACTCTTATTGTGCAAGATGCATTGATTACCAGTTTGCTTCCAGATCCATTTCTGGAATGTGTTTGTTGTTACATTTAAAGCCCTACAGACGGCATGGGTCCAGGGTATCTGAGGAGCTGTCTCTCCCTGATGGGACAAGCCCACCCCACTTGTGCCAGAAGAAGAGGCCTGCTATGTCTCCCGTTTGCTAAGGAATTGAAGCAGGTGGGGTCAAGAGCTTTTTCTGCTATGGCCCCATCCCTTTCAAATAGTCTAGAAGTGAGAACTGCCTCCTCTATTTTGGCCTTCAAAAGGGAATTAAAACCTGGCTTTGCCAGTTGGCCTGGGGGGGGGGGGGGGGGGCGGGCGCTCACCACTTGAGGTGGCTGATGGGGTAAGAAGACGTCATTCCCATTCCATCTGGCTCTTAGCTTTCTTAGTTTGGTTTTAATATAGTTTTTTTAATATTCTAATTCTATGTTGTTTTAATCTTTTAATTATTTTTTACTTTTTTTAAAAAAACTGTAAGCTGCCCAGAGTCACCTTTTAGGGGAGGTAGGTGACATATAAATTTAATAAACAAACAAATAAATAAAGCCAGACAATGAAGTGAAATGGTGCCACAGCATCTGTGGCACAATATCTTAGTTTCCATATATTTCTATCACTAAAGGAGAATATTTGTAGCTGAGGATTGAAATGAGGGTGCTCGTTTGAATGTTTTCTTGCAGATGCTTCATTACCCAACTAGGTAACAACATCAGTGCTAGTGAGGAATGGGGTTTGCTCAGTTTATATTCTAGTAGCTTGCCCTGTCAGTGTTGGTGGGGGATGGACATACAGTTTCTTTGTTTGGGCTGTTTACTGTTAGCTTGTTTGGTAGCTCCTTGATTGGAATATTGTTTACTTCTTGATTGTTGGGTTGATGTTAATCTTGAAGTTAATCTATGCTCACCTAGGTGGTGGTGGATGATACGGAGGTGTTTTGGTCTTTTTGTTCCCTTTTGTGACCATCGTAAACCAAGCCAAGTTCAAAAACTCTAGGGAATTTTCAGAAGCCTAGCACTCTGACTAATTAGCTATCAATAGGCACATAGACAATATCTACATACTAAGAGACAATCAACAAGCCAAAAAGGGAAGTTTCTCTGCAAGAAAATAACCAAGCTCAGAGAACACCAAGGACATCTCATGTCTGAATTTTTACTGCCCAGATCTGTTAGTCCTATTTTAACTCTTTGCCTCTCCCCCTGCTTCTGAACTGTTTCTTCTATTTTGCATAAGGCAAATCCCCAATTAGTTTCAGAGAGAACTTTTAATATGCTAATTGCAGGTGAGAAGACCATTTGGGATTTGAATCACAATAAGGGCAAAATGTTGCAAATTCCTTCTTCTTGGGCTAGGCCAGGGGTCAGCAACCCGCAGCACTGGAGCTGCATGCGTCTCTTTCAGAACTCTGCTGCAGCTCCCTGTCGGTAGATCCCACCTCTGGCTGACCTGCCCTGCCCCTCCCAGTTACTCCTTGCCTAGCCTGAGAAGGTAAGGGAGATGGTGGGGGATGGAGACTCACTCCATATTCCAGAGCAGGAGCAAAGTGCCCCTATAATTGCCTTTGTGTGGCAACAGCATTCCGCCTTCATTGTGGTACATCTGCGCTCAAGGCAGCCCTTGCCTCCCGCCACTTCGGACTTGGAGCTGTAAGCCGCTTTGGGCTCGGAGCTGTTGCCACCTCCTTGGCCTGCCCACTGCACCCAGTCACACCAGTTGTTAAATTATTGGCTCCCAGAGTTTTCTTTTCTGTGGGAAACTGGTCCAAATGGCTCTTTGAGTGTTTAAGGTTAAAGACCCCTGGGTTAAGCACTATCAATCCTATTCTTGGATGGATGTTGGTAATTCCAACAGCTGAAATTAGATACTAAAAGGACTGACAATATGTCACTGTTTTCATAATCCATATAAATTACATGTTAACTCAGGGATACATAAATAGTGCCCATCAGTTGGATTGCCCAATAAAATTGCCATCAAACTGTAATGTTTGAATATAATGGCAGAAATTATAGGACAAAAAATCCTTAGTATAAGGATATGGTTTGTACCAGCTATACTTTTTTTTTCCTGAGCCAAAGCAAGGTTTGGCCTTTGAAGAGCATATGTGTATATGTATGTATGTGGTTGCATTCTAAAGATTAGTGATGAGGCTTAAATAAAATTTAAATTGATTTTATTTCATGTCCATATAAAATTATTTTTAAAAAAATCATTACTCTCCAGTTATCTAATATTAGCAGTGCAAGGGGGGGGGGCACAAGGTGCTTCATATCATGGAAACAATGCAACTCACCTTATGAGACATAGAAGTTTTTGCTTTTCTGAGGCTCCAGGCATGGAAATCAATATTGCCCATATTACTTGCTACAAGATCATGACTGCATTGAATGGAGGATTTTTCAAAAACAGACTGGCTTATATGTGAGTAATGTCTAATAGTGGCCAAACAATGGATTTCAAAATAGATTAGTGAATGACATCACAAAGAACAACCTATTTATCATCATAATTTAGTGCAGGGGTCTCCAACCTTGGCAACTTTAAGCCTGGTGGACTTCAACTCGGAGTTGAAGTCCTCCAGGCTTAAAGTTGCCAAGGTTGGAGACCCCTGATTTAGTGGAACATGCAGAACACGGACTTGATGGATAGCATTTTAAAGTTTTCAGCCAATCATAATAATGGATCTGTTGATTAGATTCTTAAGTGCTTTAAGCTCACCCTTCATGATCATACAAGAAAAATAAGGTAAGGAAATCTGGCGGTTGGGAATAAAGGAGAAAAGTTTTGCATAATTCGTTTTCTAAACTTCAATCTTCCAGTTAAGTTTTAAAAAGTGCAATTATACTTAAAACTAACATAACTCAGGTGTAGCAGTACTATTACAGATCTAGCTCTCTGGAGAAGGTTTTAATTCTGGAAAAGTTAGAAAAAAGAAGAGAACAGTATGATCAGCAGCAAGGTTCCTGAATTCAGTTACAGTGTTGCTGGGTGCACTATATCTGAAGGGACAGATTATCTGAGAAAATCCATGTGGTCACTAAGAATCATCAGTGACTTGATGGCACATAATCAATCAATCAAAGTTATTTTTATCAGGCGCAAGTAAATAGGAACAGGAGTTTAGTTCAAAGCACCTTAAAACATGCTACCTATACAGAAGAATCTGATCTACTCATGGTCAAGGCAAATTGGCATAGATAAGAATCAATAGCAAAAAAAATAAATAAAAAAAATTGGAGTATGATTTATATTTTAATACAGGAAATTTTGAAAATGGAGATAAAGATGAAACCAGAACTTTCCCTTTTGGGTCTCATGGAAAAAGACCTGGAGAAAAAAATTTGGAACTTTGTTACTAAATATGTTGACAGCAGCAAATTTATTGTATGCAGACAAATGGAAGGACACTAACATGGACAAATGGTTGCAGAAGTTGATGGAGTTGGCTGAAATGGCAAAATTAACTATTTTGATTAAAGAATATAAGTACTTTTGTTTCCACATGGAGACTGCTTATGAACTTTGTACTTGAAAGAGAAAAGAATGAAATTTTGATTTTGGGTTTTACCGATTAGACTGATAGATCTTTATAGAAATAGCTTGTTCATATTACTATGAAAAAACAAAAAGTTGTGATTTGATGTTAATGCCTTGTTTTACTGCAACAGAGAGTCAATGTTTTTCTTTCTTATCCTTCTTCACTTCTCTTCCCCCTCTTCCTCCCCACCATTTTCCTATTTACTTTTGTATTTTGTATCTTATTTTATTTTATAACCCAATAAAAGATATGTTTAAAAGAAAACAGAATTCATGGGGGGCTGATGGCACTTTTGACCCCACCTTCAGGCTCTGCCTGGTCATCTCCTACAATCATACTGTGAATTTGCGACATTTATCAAAATTTAAACATAATGTAGTGCAGGGCTGTTAAACTCATGGCCAATGGGCCGGATGCACACATGCTGGCCATGCCCATTTTCGGTTTAGCAAAGGGGGAAAAAATCCCGATATGTTACATTATGACGCCTTGACAACGTGAGTTTGACACCCCTGGTGTAGTCACTGATATACTACTGGTATACACATTAAACTAGGGTTGATAATACACCACTCTTGGACATGATCACTGTTCAGCATCCAAAATTTTATATTTTAAGCAAAATAAATATGGTTGAAATCTCATGAGCTCACAAAAGCTCAAGAGATTTCAGCATTTTTGTATGAGATCTCACACAGTTTTATGAGAGAACACTCTTATTTATACCACCTCATGTGAAAATGCCTTGTGTATAAGTTTTATATAATGGTATCACTGAAATCTTGCAATATTTAATAATGAATAAATAACATACAGTATAAGATGATTACACAGATCATTGCACAAAATTTATGATAGACTGGCTGAAATGAATTGCTAACTTTTATTATTTCTACTATTATTACCCTATCTATTCTTTATATGCATGATAATTTAAAGATGGTGTCCTTATTTGATCCCAGCAAATGCTCTTGAACATACAAAAGCAAGCACTTTGTATGTTGAGTCAATTTCCCCTGGCAAAAATAACATATTCCACTTATTCATCTAACAGAGATGATGCTTTTTTAATTCAATATAAACTGGGCTTAGAAAGGACTTCAAGCTGAGGAGGATTTGATTTGTAGCCTTAACCTACAATTAATCTGTAACTTTTTTGGCATTCAATTTTTAGGAGATCACTGTAATTATGTTGTGATTTTTTCCCACTTAAACTCGGTCCTTATTCAGATGATATTCCTGACTAGGTAAGTATAAATCTGGAAATTAGTCATGACACATCCAAAGATGTGTAGGGTTGAACAATCAAAGGTAATGTATTTAAAGCATCTGCTTTTGAGAATGTGAAAATGTATGGATTGCAAACTTTTATTGGAAAGTTTGCAAAGGCCAAGAAATGGCATGTTCTCTAATGCTTCAAATGGGGTGTGCAGCTTCCTCGTGGTGGGGCCCTGCAATTCTTAGAAATTGTTATTTTGGTTTTTGGAAAGCAAGATCATGTGATCATATTCCCTTTTAGCAACTGCCATATTCCCATTTAGCAGATGTGGTTTCCAAACCTGTTTTAAAACCTGTTTTGGGGGATGGGAGAATGGAAGTAATTTATTGGATAAAAATCATCATCAAGATCTGTTTTTATCCTGGTGCTGTGTCAGATGCTCTAGAATTAGCAGATTTTAATATTAGTCCCTTGTCATATACAGATCACATCCTGTTCTCCTTGGAGCTTTCTGTAGTTGTTCCCCACTGCAGGGAAGAAGGATGCATTTGATTAATCCACCCCAGCTGCCTGATGGACCCACTTAGGATTCAGAAGAAACTTGGGGCTGGCCTTGAGGACTTTGTACATATAGATGACCATGGCCCTGTTCATTGTTTGAATAAGTGGATGAAAACAATTTTGAATCAGATCACACTTTGGTGGGTTCTCACTATTTGTGGATCTGGGGTTTTCCATCTATTTGTGGATCTCAGAGGAACCTCAATTTTTCCAAAGAACTCTGGGAGATGAAACAGGGGAAGAAATGTCTAGAGTAATGCTGACAGAAGGTGAAGAATGAAAGATGGGTAACAGCCTTTGTCAAGAATTTAGTATTAAGTGGCGAAATGTACTTTTCTGTTTTTACTGTGTTTTCAATCTGTTGCCCAGTGGGCTTATTTAAGGTGATTCAGTTGCTCCCAGGTAAGGATGTTCTAGACATCTGGCAAATGCTCAGATCTGCTTTGAAATGGATGCCAGTTGTACAGTTTCAATGACATTGACAGAGTCACAGTTTATCTGAGACGAGCTTGAGCCTGTTATTCCTGAAGAAGTGGTCAGAGTTCTAGAGCTATAAGTACAGCCAACTTTGTTCTAGATCTAAGCCCTTCCTTGGTAGTCCAAGGGCTCTGTGGAGAAGACATGGATTGGAGCAGTATATGAATCCTTGAAAGAGAAATTCTGCCAGCTCTGAAAGAGACAGTATCCCTTCCTAAAGAAGCCACTATGGGATACAATGGAGCAGGGATTCTTTGTCTGGTTCTCAACCTTATTTTTTTAGGAAGTCTGTTGAGAAGGTGGTTGGATTTGAGCAATGTGGAGACTGCAAAGAGATGCTGGCAAGCACAAGTGGCCACAGATTTTTGTTCTAAATCTACTGTGGTAGGAGACAAGAAAGAGGTTAAGCGTTATCTATGGAAGATTGATTACTGATTCAGTCTCAGCTTAAATATTATTAAACTTGTTTTGTCATAGGAAGGAAAGGTGAGCTGTTCAAGTTCAATTCTACCTTGATTGGAAGGAGAGAGTGAATGAGTAAGTGAGTGAGTATATTTTTTGTCTTGAAACCAATGAGTTGTTGGCAGACATATTAGTGGTCACAGCCCAAATAGAACACTTCTCAAGCATGCAAACATCATTCACTCACATTTAAAAGGACAGGTCCACATTGATCACAGTCTTATGAAGGAATGTAGGAAAAGAATAGAAGCAGAACAAAAACCTTTGTTCCCTCAATTAAAGACCTGATGTTTCCTCTCCATTACAACTGTAGAGGTTGACTGGTTCAGCATTTGACTTGCTCTCATTGTTGCATGTGGGATCAAAAGTCTAGTTTAGGAGGTTCAAGGCAGATCACCTGACATGTATAGCTCTTTGCAGCAGAAGGGAATAACCAAAAGGCACATTGCTGTTTCCATCCCATCATCTGTTACCTGAGATATTTTGTTTAAAGTGTGGCTGGAAGATTTAGCTGAATAAGATTCTTCTCCATGCTATGCAAGTTACACTCAGAGATGCCACAACAAAGAACAGACACGATGGCCCATGTACCATTTATGGAACTGTTTTTTGGCCATATCTTTAGCTTTCATCAAAACAACACATATTTCTTGTGATTAGTCTAAGGAGGTCTAACAAACAGCTCATATTTTAATATCCACACCTGGCAGTCTTATCTGTATTGATCCCAACTAGTGACTCAGTTCACATCTGAAAATGTTAGCCCAGTGTTGGACTCTCTGTACCGTGCACATGAATGATGCCTCTGCAGGTGAGGAAGGTGGTCTTAGATAGGGAGCAAGAAATATATATATATATATATGGAGATAGATATATATATTTATAAATTACCCTAGGCTTTTAGTTTTAAAGGAAAGTAATTTAGTGAAATGTATTTATGGTAATTTTCCAGTAAGTGTGTTTTCAACTGAACAACTGCCAAAGTCCTCTGCTCCCCCTTCTCTCTTTCTCATGTTGAGACATCTTCCCTCTGCAGCCCAGCTTATTTTCATAACCATTCAACTTTCTGCCTCTTGTTTCCTAGGCTGTTATTCAAATTACACATATTCCCAGTTATTATTTCCATCATTTAATATGCATTTGACAGAGATCTTATTTTTATGCTCTCCTGCCCTGCCAAATGTGCTAACTATTCTTTTTATGGAAAAGAGTTATATGCTTTAAGAAAAAAAAGAGAAAAGGAAGTAACTGTTACATTAAAAAAAATGTGTGGGGTGAGGTGGGGGTCCTGGAATAGTGGCTTATAAAAATATATGGAAAAAGGGAAGAAGAAAACTTGATCTTTTGATTTTAATATGTTGTTAGTCTCAGAGGCAAGATCTCCATAAGGGGTGGTAAGGCCAAGATGATGGACACATTCAGAAGTCAAAGTCTTCCAGTTGGTATGTGTGATGGTTTAATTATACTCTTGTCATCATTTTTAATTTTTGCCCACATTCCCTTTAGAGAGATTAATTTATAGCAATAAATTGTGCTGAGGTTCAGAAACCAATCAATTTCCCCATTTTATGAAGGTTAACGGATCCAACTAGTGTCTTCCATTAGGAAGAGGAAAGGAGGGTATGAAGTGGAGTTCTGTGTTGGATGACCACAATACTGACCTTTTCTTTCAGCTTGTGGAAAAAAATCATGTAGGAAGAAATGCCATCTTTAATGTTCTTCTAACCTTCAGTTATGATTTTTCTATTAGGGATCAGCAATATTTCCAGATCCTATCTATCCTCCCATTAAAAAAAGCTAATAGCCCAAACATCTCCCTAAAGTAACACATCATAAGATCTCATGTGGGAATGCTGAATATTGATGGACCTTGCATGAATTTAGAATTAGAATAAGAGAGTTGAAAGGGACCTTGGAGGTCTTCTAGTCCAACCCCCTGCTCAGGCAGGAACCCCTCTAAGATTAGACAATATTTCAAGTTAATATCTTATCAAATGTCATGCAAGAAAAATTACATCCTATGCACTCTAACACAGAATTTTTTCCTAAGTGATATTAACAAAGGGATAGAATCAAGATCCTGTGAAGTGTTAGTACCACTTTATAATGCCTTGATAAGACCATACTTAAAATATTGCATTCAGTTTTGGTTGCCGTGATATAAAAAAAAGATGTTGAGATTCTAGATAGTGTGCATAGAAGAGCAACAAAGATGATTAGGGCACTAGACGCTAAAACATATGAAGACTGATTGCAGGAATTGTATATGTCTGGTTTCATTAAAAGAAGGACTAGGGATGATAGGATAGTAGTGTTCCAAGTGTTCTACTCTTCCAGTTTCTAAGCACCTTACAGAATCAGCATATTACCCCCAACAATCTGGGTTTTCATTTTACCTCAGAAAGATGAAAGGCTGAGTCAACCTTGAGCTGGTCAGGATCAAACTCCTGGACAAAGTTAGGTTGTAATTCTGCATTCTAACCACTGCACCATGGCTCTTATATAAGGAGCTGCCACAAAGAAGAGGGGGTCAACCTATTCTCCAAAGCACCTGAAGGCGGAACAAAAAACAATGGGTGGAAACTAGTAAAGAAGAGAACCAACCTAGAAATAAGGAGAAACTTCCTGACTGTTAGAAATTAATCAGTGGAGCAGCTTGCCTTCAGAAGTTGTGAGTGCCCATCACTGGGTTTTTTAAAGAAGAGATTGGACAACCATTTGTCTGAAATGATACAGAGTCTCCTACTTGAGTAGGGGGTTGGTCTAGAAGACCCCCAATGTCCCTTCCAACTCTGATCCAGCCCTTCCAACTTTGTAATGGATGGCTTTATGCACCGTTCAAGATCAATGGATGATCCAAAATCTATTGGCACTATGTTGTCAATACTTGGTATATATAACCAGCCAAATCAGCTAAAGGGAAGACATTTAGATTTTTTTAATCTTTGTGTCTTGCTTCCACTATTCATAAAGGACCATATTCTTGATATCATATAGGCATGTTTCTCCTAACCTTGAGCTATGTAATGTTTCACATTACATTGATTAAAAATCTGAGCAAAAGAACAAGTTGACTTGCATAAGTCTGCCTCTTAGAGCAGCAAGCCTTCAGATATTAGAAATGTCTGTACTTCATTTCCATAATTTATTGGTAGTAAGTAATGGTAGTAAGTGGAGGACTACCTGTATGTATGAAGAGCTGTGGTGGCGCTGTGGTTAGAATGCAGTATTGCAGGCTAACTCTGCCCACATTTCCAGTAGTTCCTTCAATCCTGACCGGCTCAAACTTGACTTAGACTTCCATGCTTCCAAGGTCAGTAAAATGAGGACCCAGATTGTTGGGAGCAATATGCTGATTCTGTAAGCCACTTAGAGAGTGTTGTAAAGTACTATGAAGCAGTATGTAAGTCTAAGTGCTATTGCTATTGCTATGTCCCTAAAGATAGGATCAAAACATGCATATCTATATTTTCATGATGCCACATATTTATTTGTTAACAAAGGGACAAATGTTAAAATAGACTACATTATAATTATTTTAAAAAATAGTTCCCTATATCTGTGGTCTCAAAACACCAGATCCAATTGGATCTCAGAATTAGGTTGATTCAAAGGAAACCTTGAGTCTTACAGGTATACTATGCTACCCAAATCATACAATAACAAATGCACTCATACCATCATGTGTGTGTGTTTGACCCCAATTATTTCGGTCAGAAGTTACTTTGAAAAAGGAATTCTTATTTATTTAACAAAAATCAAGGAGAATGCAAAGCACTCTGGAAGGGGGGGGGAGAAAATTCCATAAAGTGGAATTTAGCGAGGAGACCTACTATCTTTCCCTATCCCACAAACCTCCCAAGGAAGAGGGAATCTTAGCAGGCCTTCTTTGGATGAGCAGATACTATCATGACAAGATGCTCTCCTGGTTAGGTCAAGGCATTGCCTGAAGACCTCACAGCTGTCCAAGAAGTATATATGAGCAGGCCCTCCATACCCAAAATTCCCAGAACTGTAAAGGGCATTTATTATAAGGAAATAATCCTAAACCTTTCCTTTCCTTGAAAGTATGTATCCCTAAAGGAATGAGCTGCCTTGAAATCAAGATGCACTTGGTAAAGCTAACAGTGAGACTTTTCATGTTCCAGTGGGAAAACTGTGACTTGAGCCAACTACTCAGCTTTCTGATTTTGGCATTGAGAATGTTGGGGATGAAAACATCAAAGATCTGTCTGTGCATGTCACCAGATTAGTAATTTTAGTACATTCGGAATTTATGCTTCCCCACCAGAGTTTTTAATGTGGCTTAGCATTTTTTTTTAAAGTAAAACAAAATGTTAAAACCAGCCAATTTAGCACAATAAATCCACCCATTAAAGAACAGTGCATCAGGAATCTGCATCTATGACATAAAAATCACCCTTTGAAAACTACCATGTAAATTACATCAAAAGCAGCAGCACCTTTACCATTTTCCTGAAAATCTAATTAAGTACCAGGAGGTTCCATATCTAGGTGTCCCAGTCTAGAAGATCTAGATGAAATTCTATTTAGGTAGCCCTGCATCCTATTTGATCGAGGACATCTCAACTTTGGCTCTGCATTTCTTTTTCTCTCTAACTACATGGTTTACTATTCTGACCCATCAGATGTGAGTGTGGTTTGGGTCGCCACATCAAATTACAAACACTTGTACAGATGAAGGAAAAGGCTCCTGTGTCAGTTTCTGAAGAGTTATGTTCTTAGATGTGACTTGCTCACATGATCGTGACTGACTAAGTTCTATGAATTCAGTTGCTTTAGATGAAAACCACTAATTACAGAGAAAGATCACCAAAACATAAAAGGCCTATTTTCCATCCCCATTTTGTGGCTCAGATAAACCTCATGTTGTTTGGCTGGCTTCAACTTGTGAGCCACCTTCCTGGCCTGTTCATTTCCATCTGCATAATAGAAAGCACGCCCCTGCGTGAGAGCTGCCACTGGAGATGTGCCACTTGAAGTAATTACATGATGAAACTATTTAAGGTTGACTAAAACACTCTCCCCAGGTTCTTGCAGAGCCTGTGTCTTATATCTTGTAGAAGCAATTTCATATCATGCCTTTCAAGTAATGTAATGGCCACTTGCACTGACAGAATCCTCATAAAAAAGAAGACTGAGACTTGGCTTGTGAAGTGCTATTGATTTTCTCTTTTCTTTCTGTCCCCTCCCTCCTTTTTCCCTAAGTCCCTTCTAGAGTTTCCAGAGATGCAACACTGTTGTTCAAGAGAGGAGTTACATTAGCCTTCAATGCTGTAGGAGGGTTTCTGTGTGAGCAAGGCATCAATGAACGTAGTGATAAATACTGCATTTGGGTGATGGCTGTCCCCAATCTCTTTTTCAACATTTTTATGTGACTCAACACTTGTTGTCTTTGCTCTTTCTAGTTGTTCTAGAAGATTGTTGCAAATATAACAGTTCTCCCCAACTTATGTGGTTAAGCAATGTCTAAAATAAAATATAAGGGATTACTTTAACTTGACATTATCTATGAGCATTCAGGGGAAGCTCCACCACAAATTTAATTCATTGCCATGTTGCAAATGGCATGCAAGTCCTAGTTGTGGTGGGCTGTGAATGGAGCATGCAGTGAATCTGTGGTTTCCTTGGTCTCCTGGTCCCTGTCACTGACCTGAAAGGAAACTGAAATTCCCAGAGTTACAGTCAGAGATAACCCCATCGAGACCACCTGCAAAGCTGCAAACTCACAAATGAGCTTTCAGAATTTTTCGCTACTCTTCTTAGACTGAATGAGTGAAAACTGAATATGTGACATGGATTGGATTTAGATAGATCTGCCCATTTTTGCTAAGTAAAATGCAGGCCTCCATATCCATATCCATATCCATATCCAAATCTGAATATTATATTGTTTTAGTCCACAAAGTCCCCATTGATTTTTTTAAAAAAGTGTACATTTGATATATAAGTCACCCCATGGTGAAACATGTAAAAGAAAAGAATTCTGTCAATTAGCTGTGAATGAACACAGCTTGTTCATGTGCCTTAAGGTATGAAAATAATCATTGTGCATTCATCTACAAATGGACCAATTGTTGGCATGATATAAAAGCACAAAAGCTTTATGAAAAAAAGTCTTTCTTTTCCAATAGTGGGCAGTGTTTGGGGATCAGGGACTGTACATAATAAAGTGGTTGGGATCATTTCACAGAAGTAGGTAACTTGTTGTTTGTTTAGTGGGAGAATTTGAAGAGTTTTGTGAATTCCTGAGTAGAAATAGATCTCTTTCAGGGCCTCCAATAAACTTTTCATCTGTTTCCTAACTCAAAATGACAGGAAACTGAGCTGTCAACTTTGAGCAATCATTATTACAGCAGGATATAATGGCTTACTTCCAGCCCTAGAGTCATAAACTGCCTATTTCTGTTTTCTACAATGGGGTTCCAGTTGTCCATATACTGTATATACATATACAGTACCAAATGTCTTTCATGTCTCATGAGAAAAATATTGTGAGGTAATGAACCTGTGAATGGGGTATATTTTACTGAAAAACACTTACTGGACTATTATATTATATGGAATTTCATGTTTTCTGCTATTTGCCTGTAGGGGGTATGAGTATTTTGTAAAGACAAACAGGATATGCATTTTTAATAAAGAAAAAATTGCAAGCGCCGTTCCCTTCTACGAAGACTAATTTCAAATTAATGTAATACTTTGCTTTAGATCTAGGCATTAATGCATCTTGGGGGTTGGAAGGGGTAGGAACAACCAAGAAGTCCCTACTGATAGGAACTATAAGATACTGGGATTTATTTATGCACAAGACAAAAAAATATTTCCCACTAACTAGCAATTCATTCTCTTTTGCAGGCCATCCAAACAGTGAATCTATTGTGGACCTAAGCATGGAAAATGAAAAATGTGACTTCCATTTTCAGAATGAGGTTCAGATGTCAGTCATGAGACAATTGTAACCCTGAAGCTTATAAAGTAAAAGGCAAGGAATCATGGAAAAGAGATGGAGAAGGAAGAAAACAATTTTGCCACAGTTACAGGAATCCTGATTCCACTTGTTTGGGACTACAATATTCAATAATCTATCAATCTGTCTGCCCGTCCACCCACCCACCCACCCATCCATCTATCCATCTATCCATCCATCCATCCATCCATCCATCCATCCATCCATCCATCCATCCAGTTTATATGCCACCCATCTCACTATCAAGCTCTCCAGGTTACCAAGCACCAGTTTGCCAAGCTGTGGCTTTAATCAGCTGCAAGTAGCAAACAATAGTCAGGTAGCTTAACAGAGTGGCTGCTGGGAAACAATTGAGTAGCCCAAAGGCGTTGGTTCTCTATTCAGTATTGATTCTGTAGTCATATAAAATACTGGGAGTTTATATTGTAATTAGAAATCCCTGGTTACATCACTGAATTCCAGGTTACAGTTTCCCATGGGCAGAAACATCTTAATATGCGTTGAATATAATTGGCATCACTTGCATTAGATGGGCTCAATAAAAATATATGTTTTGGGAATCCATCACAACATCTCTGTGACATTTACTTGTGAGCAAAGAGCCCATCTCAGCAGAAAGGGTTTGCAGAGATGGGTCTCCAGATTCTCATCTAATTGTTTATATGAACCAATACTACTCTGACAGAAAACCTGGAAGTGAATCCTGGAATACCTTTCTCCACACAAAATATTCAAGGAATTTCAGAAAAATGACAAAAGATTTTTGGTTCATTGGTTTGATTTTGGGACCTTATCAGTGCATTTGCTCTGGCCTTCTTTAAGGTCACATCAGTACATTTTGTTAGAAGTGACATTCAGTTGATTAAAAAAGTTTTTATCAGTAAAACATTTGGTAGAAAACTAGTACAATTCTAATGGTGGAACCATACATCTGGAAGGAAGGAAGGAAGGAAGGAAGGAAGGAAGGAAGGAAGGAAGGAAGGAAGGAAGGCTCTTGTTTGTAGTTTTAATGTTTGTACTTTTTTAATGCAATATTCTCTTGACAATCAACTCCTGAGATGAATGGATTTTACTTCCAAGAAATTGTAAACAAAACTGCAGCCAACTGGACATTTCTGAGTAAGTGTACATCATGAATACAGTCTGACTTACTAGATTGCTGAAAGTTTTCTTTTCTTTTAAAACATTTCTTAATGTGAAAGGCAATATCTTTTGATTTGATTGCATTTGATTTTCAGATACTGAAAGTCACCAACTGGATTTTGAGATGGGTGGGAATAAACGTATTTGAAAATGTTAATATGATTCTATCTATAATGCTAGTTGTTTTTCCAATCACAGGTAAAAATAAAGGATTCTGTGTCAAACATCTATCCACTTTATTGGTCTGTGGGAAAACAACGGCTATCTAGGGGAAGAAAAAATAATAATAAAAAAATCCATAGCAAAATCTGCCTGTCCTTTTCATTAGATATAGTTCAAATTGTCTACAGGGTGTTTTTTATCCTCATTTTGCTTGTTTTTCTCCTCCTAGAGAATATCCCATATCCAGCAACGTTCACCCAGAGTGTGCAAGAATGCTGAGTTGTCGCATAGGATTTTTTACCTCACACTGGGGAGGTATTACTTGATAACATCCACCTTGTTTTGAATTTACTGCTTTAGCATATTTCATGCCCGACGTGTTTTTTTCCCCAACCATCTGCTAAGATTAGCACTCTAGTGGTATAATAAATTTACCTTCTCTGCTCCCATAGTGTAGTCTGGAACTGACTTACACTTTACTTGGTCTAATTGAAAATAGGCGAAGATAAATGATGCACTTTGAATTTCTCTCTCAGATGTAGCATTGTTCATTACTACAGCAAGGGAATGAACAGATCTGATAAGAAGACCAATTGTTCCATAAAAAAAATTTCCATGGTAGAGAATACGGTACTGACAGCTATAATTACCTATGGGTAACTGGGGAAAAAACTCCCAACTCTTAATATTGCTATCATAAAAAAGTGAAAAGTTTCTTTTTGACATGGACACTTTGGTTTGTTCTGCAGAAAAGTATCAAGAAGAAACAAAGTGGACCTAGATGAAAATTCTGCTTAGGAGTAAAAAATGAATCAATACTGAATTAAATGAGAAGGTTGAAATATTGATATGAGGGATGTCTGTCCTGAAGGGAAGTAATAATTTTTGAGGGTGGAAGTTCATTCTCTGAGTTTGTGGGTTGATTTCTGAACATTTTGTTACCAAGCTGGATGGCATCTTCAGCAGAGTTTCGGGGATGTCAGTATTGGTGCTCTTCTTATAAGGCCTTCATGTGTTCAGTAGGTCTTGTGATATCCCCTAAACTCCACTGAAGATGTTACCCAGCCTGGTAACAAAATGTTCAGACACCAACCCACAAGCTCAGAGAATGAACCTCCACCCTCATCCTTCACCCAAGCTATAGATATTCACCATTATCACATGATACTTTTTCTCTAAATATGGTCATAACCCAATCCCTTTCAGAATTCAGGATTTATTTGGATAAGGTACCTCACATGTCCTTGCCAGTTCTCACTTTTGAGAGATTTGGTATCTACAGTATGTATGTTGAAAAATGTCCTTGCCACCTCTAGACGAGATGGGCAGCACACAATCAAATCCATCACTCCATTACTTAATCAATAAATTCACAAAAGTATAATTCCCGGACTTGATTTAGCATATTGGACAAGGCTGCCAAGACAACATCCTAGAAGTGTCTCCAATTGTCCCTATTCTCTCACTGCCAGCAGCACATCTTTCCCTGATTTTATGAGAACAGGTTTCTTAGAAGATATGGATGACTCACAGTAAACCAAATGGAATAACTTCCTGACAATTTCAGGAATAAGTAGCAAGTTATCTAAGAGAACAATGTTTCAATGTACATGTATTGGGGTATATGAGGGAATCTTGAGCTAAGAGTTTTAAAAAATTCAAGAGATCTGTCCATCCATCCATCCATATCCATCACATCATTCCCTTTTGGGGTAAGCAGCATTATGCAAAGTGCAAGGAGAAAATGTAAGAGAGAGAAAGAAAACATTAAAGAAATAGGATGATAAAAAAAAGGAAAATAGAACTAAATCTAGTTTAAACCAACAACATTCATGTAAACATTCTTCATACCTTTTTATTATTGTATATCATATTTACTTTCACTACACCAAATCACTGTGGAGAACATTGCCTTTTATTCCTTAGACTTCCCTTTTATCAATGGCATCCAACATAACTTTCTTTGTTTTTCTCTTTTCCTCTATCTAGTCACCCTCCCTTCAGAAAGAAGGAACACATTTGATCCTCATTGAATCTCTCTATGTTGATGAAACCGACACATATTTTTGTATAGTCACTCAATTTTGATTTCAGCAAATTCTTTCAGCACATTCATTTGTCACTTTCTTTCTTCTTGTTTTATCCCATTCACTTCTTAAGTGCCTCATTCCCACTGCATTCAATGCAATCTTTATGTTTCTCCCACCATGTCCAATTCTCACTTCCATTTTAATAAAATGGAAAGAAGCACCTAGCCATTTTCACTTCTTTTGAGAAAGATTAGCTTAATTCATTACATAATACCCATTGCCTTTTCATCAGTATTTAGGTTTTAAAATAATTCAGGTTCTCATCAAACAATAAGATATCAACTTCACATGAAAGTACCGACATGTTCATGTCCCGGACCAACATACCTCTAAGGTTATCATAAGCATTCCTTATATTTGTCTGCAAACATAATAAACAATGGAAGGACAATGCATATCCTTTTCCTACCTATGTTTAATGTTGAATCATTGGCCAACCATTAGTTTTATTTTCATGCATTCATTTTCACCATGTACTGCTATCTCAGATTCAACACCCAGGTTTCAACTCCATATTCATATGTTAATTTAAACCTGTATCACATGCTTCCTTCAAATTAATAAATGTCAATTAAATTTTTTTCAGTCATGTATTTCTAGCCTGCTAAAGAGCAAAAATCTGATGTGCATATACAGTAATAAAGCCAAACCGTATTTTCCAAATTTTGTTCATTTGTCACTTCTTAAGAGCTGAGGTGGTGCAGTGGTTAGAATGCAGCACTGCAGGTTACTTCTGCTGATTGCCAGCTAATCTGCAATTTGACAGTTTGAATCTCACCAGGCTTAAGGTTGACTCAGCCTTCCATCCTTCTGAGATCTGTAAAATGAGGACCCAGATTGTTGGGGGCAATATGAGTGTGTGAACTGCTTAGAGAGGGCAGTAAAGGACTGTGAAGCGGTGTATAAATCTAAGTGCTATTGCTATTGCTTATACCCTTCCATTCAGAATAGCAATAGCAATAATACCTAGAATTACATACCGCTCCATAGTGCTTTACAGCGCTGTCTGACTGATTTACAAGGTCAGCATATTGTTCCCAACAATCTGAGTCATTATTTTACTGACCTCGGAAGCATGGAAGGTTGAGTCAACCTTGAGCCCCATCAGTATCGAACTCCAGATTGTGGGCAGTTAGCCTGCAATACTACATTCTAACTATTGTGCCAACAGGGCTCCTGGTGAATTTAGAATTCTACTAAACACCTTCCCAAGTGTACTCAATAAATTAATCACCCTGAAAGTTTTCATTCATTTCTTGCTCTCTTTTTATTTGTATATTGGAGAAATAATGGTATTCTTTCTGTTTTATCTTCACACAATTTTAAACAAGTCACATAGCCATTCCATAAGCAAACTATATATTTTAACATTTATCCAGCTGCAGTGTCTAAACCTGCAGACTTACTATTTTACAACATTACAGAGCATTTGTTTTCCATAATTTTTCTCTTTCTTGGCATACATTTCAATTTCATTTTTTTAACGTTTTTCTATTATTACCATGTACATCTCTGAAATACTCCTACTAGCATGCCCTCTCTTTAGTTTTATTCCAAATTGTTTCATCAGTTTTCTTTTTTATTTCTGTCACTCTGTGGCTCCAGGTTTAATCCTTTTACCTATTTGCAAAACATTTTATTTCCATCAAAATGGCTCTCCCTTTTTTCTTTACGCTGAGTCTTAACTATTCCTTTCTTTCTTTGACCACATTCTTTGCAACTATCCTTTTCTCTTTACATATCTTATA